AAATAATAACTTTTTTGTTTATAAATATTATGATGAAAGGCTCTAAAATATTGCTATGAGACGGAAATTATTCCTAAATTCTTAGCGGCTAATTCCTTTTTCTCAATAACAACGCAATTTGCAAAATAAATGAAAAATTCCTAAAATTTCAGTTGAGATAAAATTTTAATTAAAAGATTACAAACATTTTTCTCGTTTTTTTGGGATCGTCGTGGTATTAGTGACGGTGGTTGGTGGTTTATTTATTAATTATATATATATATATATATCAATGCATTAGTTGTACAGTTCCAGTGCCTTTTCTATTCCAGACGATTTTTTATTTTTTTATTTTTTTTGTATTAAAACAAAAATAACTCACAATGATCAGCGATACTTAAAGCATACACATGCATTGAAGCTCAAACCTACACAAACACACACACACACACACACACACACACACACACACACATGAAGATCTGCTGACATAAACATCAGGAATATGAAACTATACACGTTCGTGCTTTTCTAAATATATGAACGAACAAATGAAAACATGAACACCTGGACACAATGAGTTTAATATGTTTTAGTATTAAGCAAAATAAAGCACATTCACAAAATCTACATCGATATTATACACGAACAATTCATCAGGGCCTTATATAGCTTTATATGCATGTATGTACGTGTATATATAAAATTTGAAACGAACGAGCACATTTGTAATAACATTGTTCGGCTCTTGTTATGCTTGTAAAACGAACTATTCGCGTATTGCTCTACACACACTGCTGTTACTCTCTAATATCTTATTCATATCTCTAGTGTTTAAACACGAATTAATATTGTATGTGCCAAACAAATATCCAGCTATAAGCTTATATGCATACTTACTTATCTGCATACAAAGTAGAAAAGAAAAGAAAAAAAATAATAATAATATTAAATGATCGTTACAGACGAGAAAAAACGATCGTCCAGTATATTCCATATGTATTGTTTATATTTATAAACAAAACACAAACCATATCAAACCACCACCAACACCACCATCACCACCATATATACATGCATACATATGCTCCTAGTTTTGTACGTATGCGCGATTGTAAACATTTAAGTTGTCGTTAATGCCTGTAAATGCGTAAGTGTGTTACTCAAAAAGGAAAAAAAAGAAAGAAAAGTAGACAAAGTAAACGACGCTAGCGACGACAGGAATATGAGTCAACAACATATACTTTTTTATTTATTTTTTTTTTTTATTTCGATCGTATTGCGCTGCGTGAATATGCGGCCGTGACTGATTATCACTATGATAACCGAACCACGTTCATATAATAAATGAAAAAAGAAAGAAACCAATATATTTTTAAAGCATTTCCTAAATCTAAATATTATCGTGTTTTTCTTTTCTTTCCTTTTCTTTTCTTTTCTTTTCTTGTTTTTTTTTTTGCATTGTTAACATGAATAAAGCAAAAGATAAAATATTAATCTATTCAATAACTCTTAATCTTTACTACCGCTCTTTATATATATATGACTGTAATAACAAAATGAGATAAATAAAAAAAAAAGAGTTTAAAATATTTTCTCTTATAAACTAAGAATATATGAAAGGAATGCAATGGAATTAAAATTTATTAAAGAGTTTTATATTTGATTAAATTTGCAAATAATTGGAAAAAATTAAGTTAAAGAAGAGTAACTTAACAATGGTTGCAGATTTATTTCGTAAACGAAAATTTACTCGTCTCAAAACGTTTTACTATTTATATGCATCAGAATGATTGGTTTAATCCAAGTGTCATAATTTTATACCAATAGAATGAAGACAGCAGAAGCAAGTAGAAAGATGGATAAGAGATTTCTTTAAATGCATGTAATGCTAATGTAAGATTTGCAATTAAAAATTTACCCATGTGTCCATACGGTTGCTTTGTTAGATACGTTTAAGTATACATTAATTGGGCTTACTTAACAATGGACCTGAACCCTGAACGAAATAACACTTAAAAAAAAAAAAAGCCTTGCGAATTGCATATGTTGCAACATTGCTGACAGAATTATACGACTGACAAGCTGCATCGATTTTAAACTTAAGCAACATGACTAACAAGTTATTACAAATGCAGAGAAAGTCCCGATCTGCAAGCTGGCACGCTTCTAGTTATTGAAAACTCTCATGATATTTATGCATATATTTTTAGAAATATCTGTCCCTCCCGAAAGTAATTTTCCTATCGAAGGTGCTAGATTATATTTGCTAAATATTTGTAATGCATTGAAATGAGTATCGGTAACCAAGACAGACATAAATAATCGGAGAGTGATCGGAGGGGATGCCGGCCTCCTGTATGCTCGTCTATAAGCTTTTGCTTGTGCTGAAACGACAATTATTTAAAATATTTTCTACAATATCGAATTTGGACTTAATTTCTTGCTTCATTAAGCTAAACTCGCAAAATCAATAAATCCAATGGTCCAAACGTAAATTGTCAATATTATAATTGATTGAATTTTTTATATGTTATGGTTTTAAAACTTTACCGATTTTTAGTATATGGATGGTTTTTTGTTTCTGGTGCTATTAATAAAAGTAAAACGTTTTTTATTTATATTTAATTATCCTCATCCTCTAACAAAAGAAAGCAAGTAAGAAAAGCACAGATATCCAGCGCGACAGCCTTAATCAAAACATATCCGGCGCCAGGAAGTATCTGCAGCCTAGCGGTTGGTCGATATAGTTTTCATTTCGCCGCTATGTTTGTTATTTTTAACTTTAAAATTGTTCTTTAATAAAATTGAATTCATTTAAAAAATCTCTTACATTCAGCACACATGTACCCAGAAGCCCACATAAAGGAGACTCGATGGGTTCCTCGTTTTCGTTCATACCCTCATGTAAAAAGTACTGCGTTAATTGGATTAAACATAATTTAAATCATCGTCGACCCGATATATATCGAGCGAATGAATTTTCGCTCTATCTTCGGGGATCCGAACAATATTTATTTTATATTTTTTGCTTTTGTGCACAGCTTTCAACAAATGTGGAATCTTCATGTCTCTCTCCGTCTTATGTTTTTGCAATGTTTCAAATGCCTTTCTTTGCTTTCGTTAGCAGTTACTTCAAGCTATTGAATATCGATGAATGTAAATATAAATTGAAAGCATTAAAAAATTATACGAATTTTGATCTTCTAATGTCTGAAGTCTTATTGGATTGCATAATAAGTTAAAGTGCGGAGAATATATTAAGTTTATGACTTTATTTAATATTTGTTTGGCTTTCTTCTTATTTCATTTCTGAATCACTAAAACTATACACTAATATGGAAAGATCATCCCTATGTATGCAATGGACACAATTTAGTTTTTCTCTTTTTGAGTAATAAAGAAAAAAAGTCCACAAGACCATAAGAAACTCCAGAGACTTCAGAAAAGTAGTGCTGCCTTCGCTAAAGTATCGGCTCTGGTGGGCTACATTACGGTTAGTTGGAGGGAAGGAGGCAGAAATTTAGCTTAGGTCGCGGTAAGAATTCCATGCATTGCCCTTTTCTCAAATCGCCCTGTCCCAGCGGTGCTTAAACCACTAACATTGCACGTGAGTGATATTGGAAAAGACACATACAATCATATGGCCACTGTAAGGTCACAAACTCTTTGCAATTGTTTATCGGAATAATAATAAAATAATAATAAAATATGTGAAAACCAAAGATAAAGAGAGAAGAGTAACTAGTCCCTAATATTAAGGCTATGGAAAAAGTAGAAAAAATAGATAAAATGAAGGCCGAATATAATCTCCCTAGACTCCTAATGCCAGAAAACCTTGCCTAGTAACTATTAGTTCTCTATAACAATTGAAATTTAGTCTTCAGAAGAAGAAATTGGAGCAATTGGAAGCAATTTTTACAAACATAAACAAATGTAATGTAAATGAAGAATCTTAACATTGAATTCAATTTTTTAAATTTTCAACATCAAAGAAAATAATTAGACACCCATGTTAGTTCCTCATCTATCATCAAACTTTTTAAAAAAAATCGAAGAAGACGTCATTTATGATTTGTTCTTTCGAAGACGTTATATAAATTGTCTTCTGTTACTTTGTTTCTGCCACGCACTTAAGATAGTACACCTGTCCTTAACACACGAAAGGTTATTTTTAGACTGCTAAAGTTTTCACAAAAGCCTGTGTTTTAAAAGGCATTCAAAGATCTTACATTAAAATAAAGAGTATCAAATATCTTGTGCTAGTATTTATAGAACTCGTGCTCATGTATATCCAAAGCCCTTTATAGCGTAACCGAAAACAAGCAACACATTACTTAAAGAGCGTAACAGCTGCTTTAAATACACAGACCTCTTTGGAATATCTCCGAGAGAGTTTTATCAAAATGACTCAATACCATGATGAGAGAAGAAATCAGAGAGTTTTTTGTTTTTTTTTTTTTTTGGGTTTTATTACTACGAAAAAGTAAACAGAAACAAACGGCGCATATATATATAAAATCGTTCCAAGTTGAAAGCAAAGTGGTATTAGTTTCAAATGCTATTGGCTCAGAAAAAAACGGCAATAACGGCACGCGCATAGGACATGTGTTAACATATATAAACAGGTTTCTACTGTGTAGCGGTTCACTAAGCATTTCCAGCCGACCAGACGAGCCGATTGGTGGTTGAAAACCGTCCGCATATATCACTAGGTATATAGAAGAAACCGCTTTATATTTTCACGCATACACACACACGCACACACATATCATCATACAAATAAGGAAATTAAATACACTCTTGTATACAGGTGGTGTTTTAATGACTAGTTCGTTTACTCTTTACAATTTGTATTTTTCTTTTAGTCTTATAGGATAGGAGAGTAAGAGAGCAAGAAAGATAGAGAGAGAGATTATGGTAGAGCATTTTGATGCTTGGTGATTTTTAAGCCTTACTCAAAATTGTGATGAGAGGGTTCATTATAAAAATACGAGTCGTGGGTTGCTTTAGCACAGTTCTTCGTTGCTTCCGCTTGCATTAACATCGCTTTTTGCTACGCTTTACGTTCTCTTTCCTTATGTTTTGAGATCTTTTGTTTGTTATTTCATTTTTTTACATTCAATTAATTTGTGAATTTATGTCGATATGATAGCAAAAATGTATAACAAGAGACAATATTAAAAAAGATCGTGTGTGTATTCGTTTGAACTTAACGGTACTTTAAACAAGGAGTAAATGAAAAAGCAATCAACGCGCGAAATCAGTGCCAATAAGTTTCTTAAGAACATATCTCATAAGTGTTTACATTATAACGAAAAAAAAGAAAACAAAAAAAACTGAATAAAAACTTAATTCTGTGAACAAAATGCATAACGTCGAAGATATGTTGGTGGAAAAGAATTATAGTAAATGTCCTTTGAAGAAACGACCAGTCAATTATCAATTTGATGAAGATGATTCAATTTCTGTGGATAGTAAGCTGAACGTAAAACCTGAGCATACATTACTCCAGCAAAAAAGTGTCATTGAAGAGCCAGAAAATCTCAGTTTGAAAAAGGAGCCATGCAAGAAGGAAACCATATCAAGTATTAGCGGATCGAATAACAAAGAAGATGAGTTAATCAATGTAAGCGATTGCTGTGAAGATGAGGGTGTTGACGTAGATCACACCGATGACGATAGTATGTACGAAGAAGATGAAGAAATGATCGATTGCGTAGAAGTTGAAGAGAATCATGGTGCCGATGCTAATACAACGCAAGCAGCTGCTTTGGCAGCAGCAGCCGCCGTGGCGGCAGCATCAGCGGCTGCTTCGGTGGTAGTACCTACTCCAACTTATCCTAAATATGGCCTACAACCGTGGAATTTTCATATGTCTCCGTATACAGCAGAATTTTATCGTACGATTAACAATTCTCATCTGGCTCAACAAATTTCTCCTCTACGCGGTGAGTTATTATCGCCGAGTTCACCTTCTGATTCCATTGGGTCGCTGTCACCGCCACCTCATCACTATTTGCCGGGTCGTGCTAGCTCAGTATCGCCACCAATGCGCTCTGAGATTATACATCGGCCTATAGGGGTAAGGCAATTGCCTAACTGTCCGCAACACGGTCAGCACAAATACATATCATACCCATTGCCAGCTTACCATCCACACAATGGAACAACCGCACCCTATCCTTTGGGCTATCCACCCCATCATGCTCCCATTTCACCAGCTTATTCAGAATCCTCATATTATTCGATGCGTTCATTAACACCAGAAGCCATTTCATCGCCAGTGCCCGAAGATCTCTCGATTAAAACTTGCAATACTAATGCAAACAACAAAACTCTATCGATACCGTTAAATAATAGTAACAAAATGGAAACATTAAGTGAAAAACTTGGCTCGACTTCTATTACCATCAATTCAACGCCAACAACGACGCCCGGTAAAAAAGAGAAATCAACAGCTCCGCCTCGTTATCAATGTCCCGATTGCCAGAAGTCGTATTCTACATTTTCGGGCCTCACCAAACATCAGCAATTCCATTGTCCTGCAGCTGAAGGCAATCAAGTGAAAAAGTCTTTCAGTTGCAAAGATTGCGAAAAGACTTATGTGTCTTTGGGTGCCTTGAAAATGCACATAAGGACCCATACTCTACCGTGCAAGTGCAATATTTGCGGTAAAGCTTTCTCTCGGCCATGGCTATTGCAGGGCCATATACGTACGCACACCGGGGAGAAACCTTTCAGTTGTCAACATTGTCATCGGGCTTTTGCTGATCGTTCAAATCTCAGAGCGCATCTGCAAACGCATTCCGATATTAAAAAATATTCTTGCACTAATTGTTCAAAAACATTCTCGCGCATGTCTCTACTAACAAAACACTCCGAAGGTGGTTGCCAAGGTAATGTCGTTAATAACAGTCAACCAGAAACACCAATGGAACTGAGTTCATATCCTATTTATGCTGAACATTAAATTGAAAAAAAAAACATTTCACGGCATATTGCAAAGAAAAGCTAAATATTATTTTGCCATATGAAACCACCAAAAATTAGTTCCTATACTAAAAAGAGGACAACAGCTTAAACAAAGAGCCTGGCATTATAGATTCCTTAAAGTAACGTTTTTAACAAGAAGCAAAAAATAAAGGAAAATCGGACGAAACTTTTTGCAAAAGAAAAAGAAGAAAAAAAAAAAAAAATCCACTACCTACCTCTAGTCAGCCTCTTCAAATAATGCATCGCAGTTTTTTTCTTACTACACAAATATATATTTGAGTGCCTGTACAAAAAAAGCAAAAAAAAAAAAAAAAAAAAACAACAACAACAAATTTTACTTAATTTCTCACAAAAGTGTTGTACATAATTTATATATCTATTTGTCTATAACATCATTGTATAATCCTATAATATATAATTGAACTGAATTCCTTGTACAGTATTTAAGTTAAGTCTAAGATTTCATCATCACTTATGGAAGACAAAGTGTTTATTTTGATTATGGTGTACATTAAAAAGTAAAAGAAGTTTATATCTATTTTTTCAGTATATATTTAAGCAATGTATTTTTTTTTTTTTTTTTTCTTAAATCTATTATATTAAATGAATATTTGAAATTAGAATTTAAGAGAAATTTTTGTATACTTGTAATAATATTAGAGAATAAATATTTTAATTAATTTTATTTATTACAAAACGAATGATTATTAAAGAGAATTTATTTTTAAATTGAAAAAAAAAAAACAACAACAGATTTTTTCTTTCTCATTAAAACATAACTTTTAACAAAGTACGTAGAAAAAAGCGCAAAATGCAAGCGAGCCTTTTCAATATTTTTAGAGATAAACGATTGTTATGTGTAACATTGAGGCACGTCTGACTGTGTACGATTACAACACTTAAGGGAAGGATAATTTCCAACTGATAAATATTAACTGTACAAAGTAGGAAAATTACTTGTTGAATAGTTTGGGGTATTCAATAAGCTCACTACTTCCACGAATATCCTTATTGTGGTAAAAAAAACAAAAAGTAATTTTAAAAAGTGAAAAAAATTTCAATGTTCGAAATATGAAACTAATAGAACAAGGCAGGGCTCGACTTATGTGTGCCGACAAAAATAAAAAAAATTCTACGCGGTTGGGCTTATGGCTGTCGATGAGAAATAAATGCGACAGTTTTACCCAATTTTTGGTCAGTGTCTAATGAAAACTCTTTCGATGACAAAGTTGAAGTCGAACAGCACATTCAAAAGGGATATAAAACAAAATCTCATAACGAAATGCACACATTTGATACAATTAATATTAATGAGTATAAAGAGCATGAAAGCCTATTAATGACGGATATCCCAAAATCTTCGCAAAAGCAAATATTTTTATTCTGTACTATATTATAAACACACCACACGACACTGTCGAAAAAGATGATGTGGTAATCTATTGTAATTGGTTTTAATGGCTTGGAGGTTGCATAAGCGTCATTGGATAAATAAATAAATAGCAAGATGGTTGAGTCGAGTGCGCATTCGACGTGGACACTCGGAAACTGATCCCAGTTTTGTATTAACCAATTAACCATATCTAACGAATATGTACGCCATGATCCATGCATCCATCTGTATCGGACTTCCTCACAGAACTTTATCACTATGTGTGTATGTTTGCCATGAAAATATATTTTAGAAAATACTTTTGTCATTTTTTCAAATCGCTTTATTACAACTTGATTTCATATTATTCTGTGTTTGACGAGCATACTCGTCATCGTTGAAGAGATCGACGCGGTTAACTGGTTAAAGATTTTGCGGATAAAGTTTGTATGATAGTTTATAAAGAAGAGTGTTTTGCTTTTAAGCTTACAGCAGAAATAGGCCACTCAACCTTTTCTTCATGGCAATCTCTTTCAATCACAACGTAAAAATAGTGCCACTCTGAACCCGAAAGTCTGAAAGTCAACTGGAAAATTTCTTACTTCCAAGTTGCGCGAAGCCTTCATTTTCCTGTGCCATTCTTGTATATTTAAGAAAGTTTGTCCTCTTTAGTACTAGAACTAGTGACATTTTACGCACATTTATTTCTACCAACGGGGGTTCGCTTTGATCCCGTTTTTTTATGACATCGTCGCACTCCGAACATTGAAGACAAGAAACTGAAATTTAATAAAAGCATTCTCTGATCGACTAAAAACCTTACCTTTGTAAACAGTTGTTATATATTTACATGCATGTCCACATTAGCTTAGAAACTGACACAACATCCGGAAAATATTAAACATATATTCATACTTTCGTCTACAAGTTTTTATCGCCCGTGATCCAAATCTTCTTTAGATTACCTTTGTGACATTGGTATCTGGAAAATTAGGCGAGGCACAAAAAAATTGACTATAGGTATCTGAAGATATTTTCATATAAATAAAATTGATCAAAAAATTCCGAAATATTACGCACAATATACCTACATTTGGAAAACCGAAAGTTAAAAAGGATCAAAACGGCATAGTTGACAGCTCTAGTCTTAAAGAAAGTCTATTTTGCTGTTTATTCTACAATCTTACAGTGTAAGATGCTATTATTATTTCCGTTATAATTGCCCGCCGACTAAAAAGGATAAGATGGGCACTGGAAACTAGGACTATCATCTTTTCTTAAGTATAGCAACTACGTTTAAGATTCAGTATAAAAAACTATAATATAAAAATTTGGGAAAAAATTCACCTAATAAGATAGTTTTTGTGTTACATAGTTCTTTACAGTTTGTCTTTGTCTCTACAAGCCCGTAATTTGAAGTTTCAAGTACACTCTCGACCGGAACACTACTAACGCGTGAAGCCTTTTGAAAACATTGGTTAAAAAAAAATAGCGTGAATTTTGCAAGAGTAAAGCTTTACATTTCTGTCTGTCAAAACCTGGCTCCGAAAATACCTCAAGTGACCCAATGAAAAAATCCGACATGTTTCACTAGAGAATAAAAAGAATTCCATTAGTCAGCGCGAAAAGCATAAGTTTGGGAAAAACGATTAAGATTTAAAGTAGCTTTCAGTAGTGACTTCATTGAAAAAATGTAACTTTTAAGTCATACAAAGAATCCAACCCTTCGTTTATTATTCTTAAATACTTAAGGGATCATAAAACAAATTATGGCAACAAATTTACATGGAAAGTGAAGTGAGAAGCTTTAGAATTTGGTTAAATTTTCAAGCTGTTGCACACACATTAAACTTTATATTACATTTATTCTCGTTAAAAAACATCGGGATTAATAAAAATACCATCATTTTCAATTTTTTTTATTTTCAAATCTCCATAAAGGATTCCAACGAAACTTGTTATGATCCTTATGACACCTAATCGGCGTAACGATGGAGTGCACGAACTTCTGCTACGTACGAACCTAGAAGAAAAGTGACGATACAATGTCCTTAATATATCAATTTTGTAAAGGGATTTTGGAGCTCTTGAAAAAATAATTATAATATTTTGTTCTTGAAATGGTGTTTGATGCTATTCAGGGATCACGGTACTTATGTTATTCATTGATATTCTTAGCTATTTGTTTGGCTAGATCTGTTTATAGATCTCTTTCTATAATTATTTCAAAAACAAAATTTTTGCAATTCATTAAAATTTTTAAAAAAATTCAATTATATGCAGATAGGATGCATTTGCATTATAAAAAGAAATCAAAATGTAAATCATATTTTCAAAAGAAGAATTTTACATTGATGGCGATATATATGTCTTTTAAATTAAAGAAAGATTTCGGTGACACTTATATAGTGCCTAAGAAAAAAAAAATTATTCAAAAAGTCTTCCATAGGCGACAAATCAAAGTGATAGTACCAAAAATATGTCAGGTCTGACTTTGGAAGATCCTTCTTTAAGAAAGGATAAAGGACAATTTTTTTAAGTGCTTTAAAACCATGTCTCCTAAACGAGGCGGAATAAAATTTGATTAATAAATTCTTTTTTTGTATCCTATGCCACTTGTGGTGCAGAGTTACATTAAGTTTGTACGGATGTATACAATACCCAGAATGGGTATACAATACCCAGAATGGCTTGCAATAGAGCCATTACTATACCGATTTAGACTTGTCTGCGCGTCTGTCTGTCTGCCCCTCTGTCTGTATGTCCGTCGATCCGTCTATTCGTCTTGTTTTCTTGTATCCAATCCAAGTCCCGATGAGATATTTTAATGACATCTACTACACTCACATGTTCGTTGTAAAGATGAACTCTGTGCTGGCTAAGGGGAGAATGAAGTAAGAAATAGTACCTAAGTACGTTCGATTGACTTCTTCATTTTTTTAATTCATTTTGTATATTCTGCAGTATACATTAACATTTACACACAATTTCTATGTGCGTTTAGTTGTAATTGCACAACAAATTGCATTAGTCCTCAGATTTTGAAGCTTGCATTCGCTACCAAAAAACTGTATCAGTAAAACTATTGGGCAATTTCCTTTCTTTCTAGTTTGTTGTTACGCTCGTAACATTTAAAAACGCTCCATAAAGTATAGCGCTAATCTAATGCTCCGAATCGACTAATCCTATTCCATGCACCATCTATCGTCCGTTTATTCGTCTTCTATAGTTGGAAGCTTCATAGTTAAAAAACTGGAATCTGGAATTTCCTTCAGTTTAACGTATGCTGCAAGTTCAAGACGATCTAAATTATTCGATTCAATTCAACTACATATTCTCCGCATTTTTATATAAAGAGTAAATTCTAAAGTTAATCAAGTCGACGATCAAGAAATTAGCGATTTGTACCTCACTTCTCTTTCAAATTCAGTAAACTATTTTAAAATCAAGGAATATTTCATGAGACAACATTAATAACAATAATAGAAATAATAATAGTTTTGGAAGTGCAGTGCTTGTATGCGCCGCCGTGATAGCGACGCATTGCTTAAACAGCGAATACTGCGATATATGAGGAATTCACGTAAATGTTATTATCGTTGCCAAGCTGCAATCTGCTCCTATAAAAGCATTGTTTCAATTAGGTTTTCTAACTTTTCTCTACGATTTTTCAAAAATTTTGAAATGATCATTTTAAA